AAAATACAGTTGTGATCAATGTATATAATACAGCAAAAAATAGTCACTGACAGCTAACACCAATGTAAATAATACACCAAAATACAGTTGTGATCAATGTATATAATACAGCAAAAAATAGTCACTGACAGCTAACACCAATGTAAATAATACACCAAAATACAGTTGTGATCAATAGTATATAATACAGCAAATAATAGTCAGTGACAGCTAACACCAATGTAAATAATACACCAAAATACAGTTGTGATCACTGTATATAATACAGCAAATAATAGTCAGTGACAGCTAACACCAATGTAAATAATACACCAAAATACAGTTGTGATCAATGTATATAATACAGCAAACAATAGTCAGTGACAGCTAACACCAATGTAAATAATACACCAAAACACAGTTGTGGTCAATGTATATAATACAGCAAAAAATAGTCAGTGAAAGTTATGACTCATGTAAATAATACAACAAGTCATAGTGAGTGAAACTATGAGCAATGTTGATAATATAGCAAAACATGGTCAATTATACAACTGTAACCACTGTATATAATATAGCAAAACATGGTCAGTTTTATAGCTGTAACAATTGTATATAATAAAGCAAAACATGGCTAATAACAGGTGTAACCAATGCAAATGCTACAGCAGCACATGGTCAGTGACAGATGAAGCCAATGTAAATTCTAAAGCAAAACATGGTCATTTTATGGTCAAAGAAAGCTATGAATAGTTTTAAATAATAAGGTGAAACATGATTTGCAATAGTTCTGACCTACACAAATAACTTAGTAAAACATGGTCAGTGACAACTACGAGTACAGGAAATATTATATTAAAACATTGTTAGTTTTATATATGATTAATGTAAAATACACAACACAACTTTCTTTGTGACAGCTATGACCAATGTAAATACTACAGTAAAACATGGTCAACGAGACCTATTACAAATGTAAATAATACACCAAAACATGGTTATTAACAGCTGTTACCAAAGTAGATAATGCTTGAAAATATAGTCAGCAAAAGCTATAACCAATATCAGTACTACTACACAACATGGTCAGTGACAGTTATAACAAATATAAATAATATAGCCAAACAAGGTCAGTGACAGCTGTGACCAATGTAAATAAAACAGCAGAACGTAGTTAAGTGACAGTTATGATTAACATAAATAATATAGCAAAAAATGATTTTGACAGCTATGATTAATTCAATAATATAATACAACAAAACATGGTCGGTGATGCTTATGACAAATGTAAACAATACAACAAAACAAGATCAGTGACAGCTATGATTAATTCAATAAGATAATACAACAAAACATGGTCGGTGATGCTCATGACAAATGTAAACAATACAACAAAACAAGATCAGTGACAGCTATGATTAATTCAATAACATAATACAACAAAACAAGATTAGTGACAGCTATGGTTAATTCAATAAGATAATACAACAAAACAAGATCAGTGACAGCTGTGATTAATTCAATAATATAATACAACAAAACAAGATCAGTGACAGCTGTGATTAATTCAATAATATAATACAACAAAACATGGTCAGTGATGCTTATGACAAATGTATACAATACAGCAAAACAAGATCAGTGACAGCTATGGTTAATTCAATAAGATAATACAACAAAACAAGATCAGTAACAGCTATGATTAACTCAATAATATAATACAACAAAACATGGTTGGTGATGCTTATGACAAATGTAAACAATACAGCAAAAAGAAGATCAGTGAGAGCTATGATTAATTCAAAAAGATAATACAACAAAACATGGTAGGTGATGCTTATGACAAATGTAAACAATACAACAAAACAAGATCAGTGACAGCTATGATTAATTCAATAAGATAATACAACAAAACATGGTCGGTGATGCTCATGACAAATGTAAACAATACAACAAAACAAGATCAGTGACAGCTATGATTAATTCAATAATATAATACAACAAAACATGGTCGGTGATGCTAATGACAAATGTAAACAATATAACAAAACAAGATCAGTGACAGCTATGGTTAATTCAATAAGATAATACAACAAAACAAGATCAGTGACAGCTATGGTTAATTCGATATCTTGTTTTGTTGTATTATCTTTTTTGTTGTATTATATTATTGAATTAATCATAGCTGTCACTGTCATAGCTGTCACTGATCTTGTTTTGTTGTATTATCTTATTGAATTAACCATAGCTGTCACTAATCTTGTTAATTCAATAATATAACAAAACATGGATGGTGATGCTTATGACAAATGTAAACAATACAACAAAACAAGATCAGTGACAGCTATGGTTAATTCAATAAGATAATACAAGAAAACAAGATCAGTGACAGCTATGATTAATTCAATAATATAATACAACAAAACATGGTCGGTGATGCTAATGACAAATGTAAACAATACAACAAAACAAGATCAGTGACAGCTATGGTTAATTCGATAATACAACAAAACAAGATCAGTGACAGCTATGATTAATTCAAATATAACAAAACATGGTCGGTGATGCTTATGACAAATGTAAACAATACAACAAAACAAGATCAGTGACAGCTATGGTTAATTCGATAAGATAATACAACAAAACAAGATCAGTGACAGCTATGGTTAATTCAATAAGATAATACAACAAAACAAGATCAGTGACAGCTATGGTTAATTCAATAAGATAATACAACAAAACA